TTTTTTTTTTTTTTTTTTTTTTTTTTGGAAGAACAATATGGATGGATTTGAGGACGCGATGTTTTGTGATAGTTTACGCAATGACAGCTCGCACCCATTTTGATTCTGATTTTCAAATGGATATGGATGGATTTCGGCGGTAAGAACACATACCGTGTGATTTGACTGAACCTGGCCATCTTGACAGCCAAGTACATTGGTGGAAACTGACGAGTTAAGTACGTCGGTGATTATACATCCGTGATGGCCGGTGATGCTTCTAGACGGATATGGATGAATGGATTCGACAAGGATGTTCGGTGAGTGCTTACGCTAAATGCATGTGAGCAGTCGCACCCACACACATTCTTTTTTCTTTTTCTTTTTTTATTTGGACTGTTTCTCGATTTATGCATTTCATCCTTGAATGCGCAGGGGCGATGCTGATCAAGGATGAGCAGTTTCAATTTCAGCGGGAGAGAGAGAGAGAGAGAGCCACGACCGTCAAACCTGAAAGCGCGATAAAAGCACCACACACCGTCGTCCAGCCTGGGTGTCATAACTGCAGGAATCGGCAGCGGTGTTAGACGGGGACAGAAAGCGAATGAAAAATTACCATCGGCGGCTCGCGGCACTTCCATTGCCCTTTTAAGTTTGGCTACCGCTGTTTTTGCACATTCGTGTTTTTTTCCCCTTAATACTGCCATTGCCACGCTTGTTTCTCTCCTTTAACTCCTGGATTTGTTTTTTTCAGCCGCACCCCCGATATCTGATCCAGAGGTTTTGAGTACTGTGTATCGAAGTACTTGATACCTCTCTCTCTCTCTCTCGCTCTCTCTCTCTCACACACACACACACACACACACACACACACACACACACACACACACACACACACACAATATATATTGCCTATCTATAATTTTTCGTTATGAATGGCTTGTGATGATSTGTGAAGGGAATGAGAGAGAGAATCTGGGGTCTTTTAAAACAACACACACACACACACACACACTCAGCTGCTGATGAGTCGGTGAAAGTCCGACGAAACAGTCTGGCACAGTCATGCGTTTTTTAGTGTATAGTGAATAACTAGCACACACACACACACACACATATATATATATTTGTCCTCTTCTCTCTCTCTGCCTACGGTTTACCGGGCAGTTCTGTTTGTGACGATATATATATTCTATTTGTGACGATATATATATATGGGGTCTTTTAAAACAACACACACACACACACACACACCCTCAGCTGCTGATGAGTCGGTGAAAGTCCGACGAAACAGTCTGGCACAGTCACGCTTTTTTTAGTGTATACACTGTATAGTGAATAACACACACACACACACACACACACACACACACACACGCACACACACACGCACACACACACAGAGTACATATAATTATATACAGCTCTGTTTGACTATATATATAGACATATATATATATATATCATACTTGCGGCGCATCGGCCCTGTGTGCTGCGCGGTCTGCGCGCACCAGTGCGCGCCGCGCACCTGGCTGCACGGTGCGCGATGTGCTGCGCATAGGGCCGTTGCGCTGCGCGCGGGTGCGCTGGGGGGTGCGCTCTGGCGGGCTGCATATGCGCCAGG